CTCTCTCTCTCTCTCTCTCTCTCTCTCTCTCTCTCTCTCTCTCTCTCTGTCTCGTACCGACTCTTTGGCAATAAAATCTAAAACGTATTGTGCGGCAAGAAAACGTAGCGGATCTTCATTTATTCATTTCCACCGTATGGAAATGATGAAGTCGCGTGAATCGCTATTAACCGTGTGAAATAATTCTCAAAGTGTTTCGCACAATTTCTCAGATGTTGCATTACTGCTTTACAGCTGATTAATCTCAATGCGATAAAATCGTTTGCCTTTGCGATAACGGGAGTAATATGTTTGCAATCGCGATCTGACGTTTCGTAAATTACGTTTCCGTAATTACGCGATTAGAAAAAACGATATGTATATATATGCAACTAGAGAAATGGTTATTACAAATTCTTATACGAAGCAATTCGCTAAACAATGCGATAACAGTGAGTGTTACTTAAACACGTTTTTCTCTCCCGCCTGTAATATTTACATGTAGGAGATGTCCGGTGTTCTGTTCAGCCGGTTTGAACGAAATTTTGAATAGACGAGAGAAGTTTAACAATAATTTAAAATTACTTTCAGATAAACTTAACTAAAGGCTTTTTACATTTTACATAAATAAATAATAATACATTTCTGAAGCTCTTCTCGCGCTTTAAATCACTCCAAACGAGCCTTATTTTTTAACTATGCGATTACAAAATTTCACTATTAAAATTATCTGGTAATTTTATATTGATTTATATATATATAAAAAAAAAATACAAAATGGTTTATTCTCAGACATCAAGTCAACATTTTTTTTTGGATGCGCAAGAAGTTATAAACAAATGTTTATAAAAATTATCAAAATCTTAAATGTATGTGTCAGACTTGATGAGTGCCGCACACAGTTTTACGAACGCAGCATATATTATTTATACGTATATGTATAAATACACTAAAATTTTATATATCTACCTTTGGTACAATTTCCCTCACTACTATCTAATATAATAATAAATTCTCTTTGTTATCAACCTTCGATCAGCTGACATACAGGCAGCAAACGAGCCTTTAATCATTGCGATTTCCTTCTTCTTGAATTTCTTTAAAAAAATTATGATTATATATATATAAATATAACAATTATAATAAAGCTAGAAACATAATTTTTTCGTTACAAATGCTTTCATTTGCTCGTTAAAATATTAATCAAACATCATAATATCCATCAGAAATTATCACGCCTGTTTCGATGCAAATTAGATTTCCTTAATGAAGAAACGAGCTTCGTCGAATCATCATAGATTGATCCAAATAAGAACTAAGTAAATCCAAATTATATCGAGAAGACGCATTAGTAATTTTCTAACACAATTCGAAGGTACACGTTTGTTGACGCCTCATAGTGCTCGTAGTACTTAAAGTCTACATATTACATACGAAGACAATTGTGCTATCGAATAGCCAAGTTTTCTAGTATCTTCAATAAGTCTCTGGTAACTCTGACCGTTTCGCGAGTCGAATTCTCGCGATCGACGCAATTTCTCTCAACTTCGATTACGTTCACGCAAGCTCGTGAGTGCGACTCGCCCCTATATAAAGAGATAATTCTCGTAATCAGCATAGGAAGAGGCAGTTATATGTTTTGCCGAGATCGGCGTCGACGGAACGCTCTGCGGGAGTTGCTGCACCCGCGGCAGCTGTACCTGCGGAAGATCCGTACTGCGGGGTACGACGATTCGCGGCGTCTGATTAATGGAACCTAAGGACGAGTGATGTTGATCCCGATGGATGATGTTGTTGTTATTGTTGTTAGTGGTAATATTAACAGTTTTTCCAGCAAGATGATGCAGACTCAAATGATTGTTGTTGTCGAGCCTCGAACTGTAATGGATAGGAGGACTGTCGTGGAGATTCAGCCTCGATATTGCCATAATGCTCGAATCCGACGCCCACATGCTCTGAAACGACGGCGATGTTGGATTGTGTAACAGATTTGACTTTCTATTAAGCTCTTATGAATAATTCCGATAGCGGCATAATTATATACGGATTGAATTTGACGACTACAGTCTCTTTGTTTGACCGTACACATAATATTTCATACTCTCTATTCTTCAAAGATCGATGGCAGAGAAGATTACCATTGAAGCTGACTTATTACGTGAGATAAATCTCTCTCACCTCTTTATAAATAAAACAATCACAAACTACTATTCATATGCTTTTTTACGTAGATCTAATTTTGAAAATTTTTTTTAGAGATTATATTAAATATGTTATTTTATTTAGAAGCACTTTCAAAAAATTACATCAGTTGTTAAATATCGTAGAAAATTTAAAAGATGTAAAACAAATTTTCTTTTTAAACATGAATATCATAATAAGTACTTTTGTTCGGAGAGATCTAAACGAATCGAGCTTTCATCAAAATATCACAATAAATCGGATATAATACCTTCCGCCTATAATCTGGATTACGTCTAATGCGAAGATGTCGATCCATGCTGGTCCATCGTTGTGTAACTTTGAGCGGAGAATCGTCGGGGTGTAATTTCCTTTGGTACTCTTCACCTTCGCAGACCTCGTAGAGAGAAAACTGCTCCACTGGTTCCTTGGAGCTGTAGCAACTCAGCAGCATCTGGATCAACTCATCTACGGTGGTCTGCTCCGAGACCAGAAGGCTCTTGTATTTCGACTGTGAATATTAAGTCCTCGATTATTGCAGGAAAAATTAAAATCTTAAAAAAAAAAAAGAATATAATTTTTTATCATAAAATACTTAAAAATTGTATAAACGTGGACTTCATATTTTTAATTATTTTTAATGATGGAATGTTTTTATTATAACTTAAATGAATCTTTAATTCTTATAACATAATATACATTGTTTAACTTTTAAGAAAAAAAAGTATGTGATATAATTATAAAATTCTTAATTTATTCGAAGATTGCAAGTTTCTTTTATATATGGAAAAATTCTTCTTACTCTCATATATTATATTTAATATTAAAATGTGTCTGTTATATTTCTGTTTGCTTGTAGAAGAGTAAAAATTTATTTACCCCGGACATGAGTGCGCTGTCGTATATTTTGACGAGTCCGCCACGGCGCGTCTGCAACGAGAACCTGCAAACAAGGAGGAGGCATATGTAAGCACACAAGTTTACGTGCCAAAGATTCCGCGACGCTGGTAAAAGTCGGTGAGTTCAAAGGACACGAACGAGCGTTACTTCTATGTTAAAGCACCGGTTTGTGCCGGGGAGACAAACGCTCTCGTCCTGTATTACGCATGTAAATCGCACCGGAAGTCTCATACTACCAAGAAAACACCGGCCGCGTCGGAAAACCGTTCTTATCCGTCAAAGAGCTACAGCGACTTCTTTTCATAAACGAGCAAATTATAAAGGTGTGTATGTGTGTGCACAACATTTTTCGTATATTATAAAATATTATATCATAATAATGCGTATCATAACTTCTGTATTACGGTGTATATTTAACATAATTAGACTCGCGTGGAATCTTAAAACCATCCTCGCGCTCTCCTCAAATCTCAATCCATAGCAGTTACGACCGAGACCCCCGTAAAATATCATAAATTCCATTCGGTTTCGCAACCGAATAGCCGTATTTACGTTCCCCGCGAATCGTGCAGCGACCCACGCGACCATTTGTGTCCGAGAATTATATTGGTGAGAGACGCGAAGTACGTCGGTCGTTGTTAGCTCGTGCTCAGTGGTCCACGGGACGTGTTTATAGCCACGACCCCTGAGGGTGAGCAAACGTACCTGGAATCGCCGCGAGGATGGCAGGATTGCAGGACGGCCGGCCGTGCATCCTCGTCGAGCGGCAAAACGGTGCGCACGTTGGCCCTCCTTACGGTCACCTCCATGATCAAGTAAAATAATCGAGGATCGCGGTGTCTCATGCGATACTTGTTCAGAAGATTTTGCACGACCTCGCGACAGGTCGTCTCGTAGGTGATACTCAGGGTCTTGTATTCAATGTCCGGTCGCAAGCAATTGGCATAGACCTTGATGGTGGTCTGTAACAAGAATTACAGGTTTAAATATTCGAATTAGTCACTGTATAAAACTAGTCTAAACGAACATTAATGACATTTGTCGAAAAGTATGTTATAGAAGAGGATAAGAGAGGAGAAATCTTCTTTTCAGTTTCAAGTTAATTTCAGCAACGGCAAAGAGGAAGGCGACGTCCTGTTTTGCCGGCGCGGCAAAAACTTCCAAAGAGCGGACCTTGACAATTAGTCCATAATTAACTCGGAGACAGGCGTTGCCCACGCACGCGACATAAAATACTATCAACCCTTCCGATACGACTGGTTATGAGGGGATGCGTGCACCGAAAATAAACCAGACACCAGATCACCCCATTCGCAGATGCCACCGCCTGCACGCATACGCTAACATCCGCTTGCCGGACTTACTATGTGTATGCGAATTTAGAATAATGGACGTAATTTCATGTAAAGCGGAGAACTCATCGAAATACCGGTAAGTTATATAAAACAGCGAGCAAAGTATATGCATTTATAAAAATAATTTATTTTATTACATTTATTTGATTCTGCAAAATTTGTTACACATCTACATCTATTATAATTTATTTATTATTTTTTAAACAAAAAAGAACTCTAGCTAAAAATATCAGTATTTTTATAATAAAATATAATATTTATTCATTTTTATAGCAACCAAAACTAATTGTAAACGCATTTTTCACACTTTCACTATTAAGAATGTTTATATACCAGTGTCACTAATAAAAGAAACGTCAGATTTGATGTGGCAAACATATGTTTGTTTCCACGCAAATGGTCTTCCCAACACGAGTTATCGTTGATGAGATTTTACGAGTTAGTCGTACGCTTTTATTACTTTGTCGAAAGTTTTTCGACTTAATGCAGATCCGATGCAAACATGCAGACATACGGTTCGAACGTGCTTGCACATTCATCCGCGCGTGATGATTTCGCCAAAGCCAGTATAAATTGAAATCACGTGAAACCGGAACTTGTGTTGCGAAATCCAGTTGGCCCTGTCCGGATCCGGCTGACAAGCCCCTATCGTGTGAAATAAACACGTTTTCGACGACAATCATGGGATTATACCTTCAATGTGCTTATTACAATGTCAACAATGGATTTTGTTGCGTACTGGCGCAATCGCATATTAAGTTGGATTCGTCGAGATAACTCTTACATTTCGTCTTATTGTATAACATCATGATGGGTCTTTTGAAAAAAGACACCGAATCGCGCTGATTTACAGTTTCAAATCCGGAAAGAAATGATTTGTAAATATTTATAATCTAACATAGTCCTACATTTTAAGAAAAGAGAAAATATTATTAAATATCTTAGTCAAATGTAATATAATTACTTTTTTGTATCGATTTATATTGTTAATTAACGAACTACGCATTCTCATAAAAGAATTGCACGAACTGGATATAAAAAAGATTTTCATCTCGCAGAGCAAACTTTGCACGTTTTCACAGAAGCGCGTCTTTATATGGATTGATACAGCGACATTTCTGATTCAGCTGTTGAAATTCCAATGCGTTTACGTTAACGACATTTACGCAAGTTGCTTTAGTGCGCGTGCACCAATCTTTGAACAGATTTTTTCCTTAATTATACCGCAACCAGACAAAGTACAAAGATCGTTATGAATCATCGATTATGATTTATGTCAATGATGCTTTTTTTTCTCGCACTCTTTGAATAAATGGTATATAAAATTAATGGAGAAATGAGATATTTATATCTTTTTATCATAAAATAAATCTCAAGTTAAATATAATTAAATCACGCGTACGAAATTAGTATGTAGTTTAATCTACTAACAACAAAGTAAATCATATTGAAATGCGAACTTTAAAGAAAACCCATTAGATAATAATAACGACATAGGTCAATCATTATCTCGCTGATGATATCACTTGTATATATTGTATTTGTATAACGCGCACGAGCCGCTCTACTGAAACACACATTTCAGGATCATCTCGTGAGTACAGTCGATCGACCATGTTTTCGTCCGACTAACGGCTAATGAAAGGGAAAATGCGGGAGTTAGAAGGCATGCGAGTGTCAAAGCAAGGTCTGCGCTTCGTCAGGATCGAGAAGGACGTACGACACTCGGTTACGAGCGGTAGGCTCCAATATCTCACACCCGGTTATACAGGACAGAAATACATCTCGGGATATTTCGGTAAGACATTTTTTTTCGAGTTGAAAACATTGTTTGACTCGCGCACGTGCGATCGACATCATCATCAAAAACACAGCATTGATAATTTTTACCGCTACAAGCAAATCGAACATCGATACTTAATATCGAAAAGTAATTGAGAGAAACGAAAATATTAAACACCTTCTTATTTTTCTTAAGCTGTTTTATTATGTCTCAACTTATGTATTGGACTTTAGACTGAACGCATTGTTCTGCGAAATGTATTCGTACCTCGAACGAAGTTATCGATGTACACCTCACCTTGCATAATGTGGATGATATCATTGCCGCTATTTATAAATGTGCACATAAAGGAGATTTTGATAACATGCGGACTGATTTTCCGTGCCCTTGATCTTACGTTACAGCCAGTAATAGAATGCTACAAAAAGATTATTTGTTATCGAGATGATACCAGCTGATACTGTATGCATTACATTACATATCCAATATACTATAAGAAATATTAAAATGATAAAAAAATATTATATTTTTCAACAATCTATGCATGATCACTATGCATGATTATTCATAAATATTGTATTATTATAGATAAAAAATTTTTTTTCATCATATATCAATATACAATATAAAATTATTAATTACAATTAATACAACAAAATATAGTATTATAAAATTTCATAAAAGGCATGAGATTTTTTACAAACATTCAATTTTTAAGGATCCATCGATCGGTTTATAATATCCATTGCTTCTTATACTAAATTATAATTGCACATTGAAGATAAATTGTTCGACGGTTTCACTTTTTTATACTCGTTAATTACACAGCTCGTGGCTGATCCCAAACGAGAAAAGCAGTTGTATTTTTATATCGCCCTAAAGACTGGTTTTGTAAATCGAAGCTCTAATGAAGAAGGCACATTGAGGAATTCGAGGAAGTCCTAAAATCTAGCCGCTAATACGCCATATCGAGCACACGATGCGGCAAAAAAATGAAGCGTAAAATGGAATCGTGGATGCCATATGTCATGGGATGCCCTCGTAATGAGGGGATCCAATTTAGCCGGAATCCATAAAAATCCCAAACTTGCTCTTCGCCAAGCGACAAGGCGTAGTCATACACTAAAGAAATTTTACGTTAATTGCACATTTAAAACCGGAAAATCAGCCCTTTCTTTTTTTTGCTACTATATCTTGCCTATGATTCGTCCTGCTCTACCAGTAGCTCATTGGCTACTGGTTCTAAATATAGTCGCCTTTATCGCGAGCTTATCGTTATCAATGACTCGGTTCTTAGCGCTCGTTCCAAAACGACACCCGGTATACGTATCATACGACTCCCGGTATAAGTAACATTTTAGAGCAAGGTAAGCGACACCTTTCAACGGAAATGCTCTTTTATACTAGTTCGCCTTTTTTCTAATTAACAAATAATCTCATTTCTGCATAATGAGCACTTTGAAACATTTATTTTACGTCAGAGAAAGTATTAAAACAAAGAGTTTAAATATTTCTATTAATAATATTTGATGTATTTTTTAGTAAGCGTTTATCATATTAAAGGTAAAAAAAATGCAATTGATCTCAATAAATTATATAATTGTATAATTAATTTATCCGTGATCAAAATTTAATATGTTTAAATATTAAATTTTTAAAGTAAACTTCCATTTATTCTGTGAAATATATATATTAAATATAACTAAGGGAGAGTGATGTCTGGATCGACTCACTGAGTTTTATTATTCTTGATGCGTGTTGTCTCTTGCATGGCGCCGTCTATTTATAATATTTATTTTCCAATTGATAAGATGAACGAAGTCGACGTTATATTTCACATGGGTGGTAATCAAGTTAAATAGTTAAAAAAAAAATTCTATGCAAAGATAACAGATCCGTCGTGTTTTATTTAAAAATTACAAAATTAATCCACATTATGAATTACGTGTAACAGATTACATATTATTATTTACACTAAACTTTCAATAATACCGAGTGTAATGCGAAGTCACATTTAATTGCTGAAATAACAGAAAAAAATTTGCGTGATGTTCCTAAAATTTTAAATATATTTTGATTATAGAGCTTAGCTGAGATTGGCCATAATTTCCAATTTTTTTTAATAAGCTTGAATTTTCAAGATTATATTTATATTACGCATAAATAAAAAAATATTAGGATATGTCGCAAGGCATGTAGATTCGGTATATTCGAGACAACGCTCGTTCATTTTCATTCAACCCCACGTGAACAGTAGTTTCAATGGCTATCAGCCATGTATTGGTGTCCCAGGTAAGAGTTCTTTGCATAATAAATTTCTTATCCCGACACTCCATTGAATCCTACGTCTCCTCTTACATGCGTGGCACGTGCTGTTCGGCCCTCAGCTGCCATTTTTCCTCACGAAGTCTTCAGGTACCGTCGTTAATCGAGCACGTGTGTTCCCTCGCGCTTATCCTTCTCTTAGCTTCCGGTCGGAGAAGGGCCTCGAGGATAGCGTAAAACAAAAACTCGCTTCTAAAACGAAGAGAGAAACGCTGCTCTCTGTCCTCGTATAACTTTGCTTAAGGATCCCAAATGTTGCGGGAGTTTATCCGCAGGAGGTAATCCATTGAACGTCATTGTGTTTCAAAAGCGTGAAACTAACATTTTTAAAAGTGTTAAAACGTTCTTGTTTTACAAGTGGTTTTTCTTTTAATTCTTTTTATTTAGTTTATTTTTTTGTTATTATCTCTAAGGTTTTCTTTGATAAAAAAATAATTCAATTTAATTTCTTGGAATAATGTAGATGATTTAATAAACGAGAACAAATAACATACGCAGG